CGTCCGTTTTGCTCTATCTTGTACCGTTTGGGTGCTGGGGGGCATCTCTTGACAAAAATGTGGTGAAAACGACCAAATGGTCTAATAAACCGTAGAGAAGGCTTCATATCAAAATATTGTGTATACACTCCTATTTATTCGTCTCGGGTGTCGCAGCGTAACAGTGTCTCGTGAGATATCGCGAAGGCTGCTACGCGAGACGTGGTCTGGCGTACATGTAGCTAGTATAACTAATATGAGTTGTGGTGAACTTGTAAATACTATACTCAAAAGTACACTCAGCAGTCAAAAATTTCAAAAACAACCGAGCAATTTGCGAGGGGTTTTTATTTTGCGTAGTACCCTGTACACCTGACCTGGGTAGTACACGGTATTGCGCACAATGTAATACTGAAATATTACAAAATATGCTTTAAAATGATAGTTTTTAGCCCGCCCTTCTGCTTTAAAAAAACCATTAAAGCGGGCTTATGCAACCGCTCTTGTGTCCGTCCGTCCGTCGTCCGTGTAAGAGGAAGGAGATGAGCTAGAGGTCTAAAAATGTCAGGGTATCTTAGGGGTCACTCCTGGACAAAGAAACGCCTGGTGCAAATCCCAGCAACCACCCCTAAGGGGGTGAAAGGGGGTAACAAAGAAATAGGGGTTGGTCCAAAAGGTAGGAAAAAAATATTTTTTTAATGGTCTTTAAGGGGTAACTCGTGAAAGTAGAGCCCGTTTGTCGAAAATTTTGTCCGTTCGACTGTATCTTGAACCGTTCCGGCGCTAGAGTACTTTTTTCGACGAAAATACGGCGAAAATGACCACGTTGCACTTAAAGACTAACTAGGAGGCGTCCAATCGTAAAATGGAAGAGGAAGTACCCCCAAAATAACATAATCTGAATCAGGAACTACCCTCGGATATGCCGTATCTTTCACTGTTTCGGCCCTAGAGGTGGTTATATTGAAAACAATGGCAAGAAGTCAAGTTTTAAGACTGTTTGACAAACAATACAATCTAAAAACTGCGCTAGTTCATTTTTTTTGTATTTTTCTTAAGCAAAGCAGAAGGGTGGGGTGTAGTCACGGTGTTGCCCCGTTACAGTCTTGTCATGTGAAAGGAGCAAATCTCTAGGGCCGCAGGCCCCCCGTCGGAAGTTAGTTTACTCAAATATGCAAGTGATGTACCGGTCACATTATTTATTTGATTATGTTCTCCAGTACGGTGTTGCCCCGTTACAGTCTTTTGTCATGTGAAAGGAGCAAATCTCTAGGGCCGCAGGCCCTTTGTCGGAAGTTAGTTTACTTAAACATGCAAGTGATGTACCGGTCACATTATTTATTTGATTATGTTCTCCAGTAAATCACGAGACTGAAATGGTCGGGCCGCAGGCCCGACCATCGCTGCCGCCGGCAGGCCAAGCAGGCCCAGCCCCTGCCGAACGGAGTTGCCAGCGCAGCGAAGTGAAGCTGGCAACTGCGTTTGGCGGAAGGGCGGGTCTGCTTGTTTCGAAATCGAACATAACCGGTATGTGTGTATATGTATGTATGTTTTCGTTTAAGACGACGCTGATCGTGTCGTGGTGGTCTGCACGGACGAGTCACTTCGCATCCTCTGCGCCAGCGAGATCATCTTTGCAGACGGCACTTTCAAGACAGTTCCAGTGTAGTTCGCGCAGCTCTACACCATACACAGCTATGTCGTGGACACGGCGGGGAGGCAGAATGTGTGTGTACCCGCTGGTTGTCTGTCTCTGCGTCCGGATGACAGAAGAAACGTACATGAAGATTTGGCAGGTGCTGACGGACGAGACGGACCGGCAACAGCTTCGCTTCAAAGTGAAGCTCATCAAGTCCGACTTCGAGATTGCGGCCATGAACGTCAGCCAGCATTTCTTCCCTGCTGCCGAGCGCAAGGGTTGTCTCTTTCACTAGAATCAGTCTCTGTGGCGTAAGGCCGTAGATGAGGGCCCGCGTGCGTGTCCCGTACACTGTAAAAAATATCGTCGTAAATTTACAAAATTTTAGTAAACTTGAATTATAATTTAAGTTGTAAATTTACGAGAGCACATATTTTACTCGCCAATGGATTGTAAGTCGATACGTACAGCCTGTAGTTTTAAGATTCCAAATTGTAATTTTAAAACTCGCGTCAAGGAAAATTTTCCTGTAAACGTACCTGCTATTTTTCACAGTGTACATTAATGCAGAGAATGAGGAACACACTGTTCGTCGCGATATTCAGCGCCTCATGGCGATTCCTTTTGTTCCTGAGAACGAGGTGGAAGAAGTTTTTGATGTGGTCTATGGCGAAGTTGACGACAGAGTTCTAAACTTAGCAACAGTCTACCGGCCGGCCGGCGAGCTCGCGCGAGCTTGACAGGTTGTAAACCCCCTTCCGTAAGCAGGGACCGCCTCAAAATTTCAGCCTAGATCGGGGTAGCTTAGATCGGGGCAATAGGCTATTCCGCTCGACGCGGTAAGAAGAACACAAGAATCACAAAAGACGAGGGTGGGGGGAGCGACGCGGGGG